TTCTCTGTGTAGCCCTGGCAGTCCTGGAATTCGCTCTGTAGATCAGGATGGCCTTGAACTCAAAGATCTGCCTGCCTCTACCTCTTGAGTGCTGGGTGTGACTACCACCTGCTTTCTCTTTTATTTTTTTGAGGTGCTGGGATTTAACTTATCGCTTGACACATGCTAGATGAGCACTCTACCACTGAGCTATAGTCCCAGCCTGTTTTTCATCATCATAATTTGTAAAGAACCCATGAACTTTATATAGAAAACAAAAACAACCCCAAAGGTCTTAGACATAGTTTCCTTTTAAAAAAATTATACTCATTAATACATATGGTGTCTCACTATACAGCTCTGGCTGACCTCACTTGTTATGTAGATCAGGCTGGACTTGAACTCACAGAGATCTGCCTACCGTTCCCCCCTGAGTGCTGGGATTATAAGTGTGTGTCACCACATTTGGCTCTTACTAATTTATTTTTATCAATTTATTTTAAAATACTTTTTTATTTTCATTTTATGTGTATGAGTGTTTTGCCTGCAGGTATGTATACATGCTACATGTGTTCCTGGTGTCCATGGAGGACAGAAGAACTGGAGTTACCATGTGGGTGCTGGGACCCAAACCTAGGTCCTCTGTAAGAGCTCTGAACCCGCTCAACTCCAGTCCCTAATTAATTTATCTTTTCACCTATTTTTATATTAGGTGATGGATTTTTTGCCTGCATGTGTGTTTGTGTACCATGTGTATGACGTGTACGACAGTTGTGAGCTGCCCTGTGGGTGCTGGGAATTGAACCCAGGTCCTCCGGAAAAGCAGCCAGTGCTCTTCACCGCGGAGTCTTCTTTCTGGCCTCTTGCTCTGGTTCTCTGGCTGGACTTTGGACCGGGCGTCAGCAATGCTTCTGCAGTCACCAGTTTTCAACAATGCACACCACGCCACACGCACACGACAATACCTGGCCTCTTTACTTCTTAAAAATTACAAGTAGTTAGAATTCTTTGCTTAATCTGTAGTTATTAGCTTCTGGTTTATGTAACTTGTACAATTTTAACTGTGTGGGTGTACACACGAGTGCGCATGTGGAGACCAAAAGCTGAAGCTGGTGTCCTCCTCTATCGCTCTCTGTTTTTAAATTTTCAACCTTTATTAATTTATCTTGAATGTTTATCTGTGTGGGTGCAAGTATGCCACAGCACATATATGTATGGAGCCAGGGGACAACATGGGGAGCTGGTTTACTTCTACCATGTAGGTTTGGGGGATCAAATTCACCAGGCTTGGTGGCAAAGCACCTTTACACGCTTGAGTCAGCTTGCTAGCGCCTACCTTATTTAAAATTTAAAAAAATGTTGTTTATCTATTTATGTGTATTGTGTTCTCTCCTTCTATTATGTAGGTTCTGGGAATTGAACTCAGGTTGTCAGGCACAGAGGCAAAGGCCATTTTGCCAGCACCCACTTCATTTTATTGAGGCAAGGTCTCTCACTGAACCCGGAGCTTGCCATGGACTTGCTAGCCAGCAAGTCTCCGAGATGCACTGTCTCTACTTCCCAGCACTGGGGTCACAGGTACGCACCACCATGCCTGGCTTTCACGTGGGTTCTCAGGAGCTGAACTCAGGGCCTCATGACTGCTCAGCATTTATTCACTGAGGCATCTCCCCAGCCTCCAATTTTAATTTCTAAAAAACAAATTCCATCATCTTCCGTGATCTAAATCTGCTTTACTGTTTTTTGTTTTTTTTTAAAATTCATTTATTTATTATGTATACAGCATATGTGACTGCAGGCCAGAAGAGGGCACCAGATCTCATTATAGATGGCTGTGAGCCACCATGTGGTTGCTGGGAATTGAACTCAGGACCTCTGGAAGAGCAGTCAGTGCCCTTAACCTCTGAGCCATCTCTCCAGCCCCCTGCTTTACTGTTTTTGTATTACCTACATATTATGTGACCAAATCCCTATTTTAAGAATTTAAAACATTACAGAAACACAGAGAGTTTTCCACTGTCTACTGTCAGGGCACCTGTTTTCTACTTTTGAGTGTTTGGCATATATTCCACCTTTTTAAATTTATTTTTATGTGTGTTGGTGTTTTTGCCCACATGTATGTCTGTGTGAGGGTGCCAGATCCCCTAGAACTGGAATTACAGACAGCTCTGAGCTGCCATGTGGGTGTTGGGAATTGAACCCGGGTCCTCGGGAAGAGCAGCCAGTGCTCTCAACCACTGAGCCATCTCTCCAGCCCCTATCCCAGTTTTTTTTTTTTTTGATGAACAAATATAGATAGAACTATAACATATATTGTTCTGTAATAGCTTCCCTCTCTCTCTCTCTCTCTCTCTCTCGACAGATTCCTAATCTGTAGCTCAAGCTGGCTGGCTTCGAGCTCACAGAGAACTGCCTGCCTCTACCCTGCCTCACTAGAGCGGGGACTACAGGCACGCATGTACCGGGCCCAGCCTTTTTTCAAATTATTATTGGATTTTGAGCCACGGTCTTCCTAAGTTGCTGGCTTTGAGGCTGGAATTCTCTTGCCTTGTCCTGAGTAGCTGGGATTACAGTCATTTACCTCCAAGCTGGGAGTCTTTTTCATTATTTTACTTGATACTTCATAAGTCCTTTAAATATGAAAACTCAAAATTTAGTAGCTGTTCAGCCAGGTGGTTTTTTCAGCCAGCATACACCTTGAATTCTAGCACTCTGGAGGCAGAGGCAAGCAGATCTTTCTGAGTTCAAGGCCAGCCTGGTGTAAAAAGTGAGTTCCAGGATAGCCAAGGCTACAGAGAAACCTTGTCTCAAAAAACTAGAAAAAAGAGTGAGTTCTAGGATAGTAAAAGCTATACAGAGAAATCCTGTCTTGAAAAACCAAAAAAAAAAAAAAAAAAAAAAAAAAAAAAAAGCTTTTTTCTGTAACCTGACTGTTGGCTCTTCCTCAGCCAGCTACCATATTTTGGCATTTGTATTATTAATTTTTTGGACCCATGCTCCATAATCACTCATCCTTATGTATTTGTTGTGTTTTCCCTGAGTTCTGGTAAATTTCTGAGTTCTGTTTTAATACTTAGAGGCTCTCTGGTCTGATCACTGACAGTACTGAATTAAGTTGGCCATGGCTGTCCTGGGGAAGTTTTCTTCTTTCAAATTATTTTCCCTTCTTTTAAAAAAAAATTAAAGTTGTGTGGCTGAAAAGATTGCTCATTGGTTAAGAACGAGTACTGCTCTTGTGGGGAAGTGGACTTCAGTTCCCAGAACCCCCATCAGGTGGCTCGGAACCACCTGTAACTTTAGCTGCAGAGGGAATCCAATGCCTCTTGGCTTCCTCAGGCACCTGCACTCATGTGCATGTATGCGTACACAGACACATACATATAATTAAAAATGAGACAAATCTTAAAAAAAAAACATCATGAGTTATAGACTGGAAAATAAGTAAATGAATAAATAAAAGTTGGAGTCAGGAGATAATTCAGTTAGTAGGATGCTTGTTCAACCTGTACCAGGCCCTAGTTCAGTCCTCAGAACGACATCAACCTGGCACATCAGTATAGGACCACATCTACAATCCCATCTTTTAGGAGTGTTAGAAATTCAAGGCTATCCTTTGCTACATAAGGACTTCAAGGCCAGCCTGGAAAGAATAGACCTTGCCTCAACAAAAGTAAACAAAACCAAACAGTCTTCAAACTGAGGTCTTCAACTGGAAAGTAGATTACTTGCCCCCATCCCCACATTGGCTTTCAACTGGCTATGTAGTCAAGGATGACCTTGAACTTCGAGTCCTTCTCCTTGTACTTTACACTAAGTATTACAGGCTTCTGCCACCATACTTAGTGTATGTGGCATTAGGGATTTTTTTTTTTTGTTTTTGTTTTTTTAAGGTACGGTCTCATGTAATCCAAGCTGGCCTGGAACATAGCCAAGGAAGACCTTAAACCCTGGCTGATCAGGAACTCTTGTATCTTCCTGCTTTAGCATCCAAAGTCATGTAATTAGAGATGTGTGATACCATAACCAGCTTCAAGTTAGGGGTTTAAAATTTTTTTCTTGTTGTTATTGTTTTCAGACAGGTTTTACTGTAGCTGGCCTAGAACTCACTTATGTAGACCAAGCTGGCTTTGAACTTGAAGAGATCCTCCTGCCTCTGTATCCCTGGTGCTAGGATTATAGGCATGTGCCACCATGTCTCAGGTACTTTGGTCTGGCCTTGAACTCAATGGTGGAGGACAGCAATGAACTTGGATCTTCCTCCCAAGTGCTGGAGTTACAGGCGTGTGCCATTGTGCCAGGACTTTTTTTTTTATTTCCTATTTTTCTCAAATCTTTGGGCAAAGGCTGCCATTTGCTCTGGTCATTCTAATTATAACCCCTTGAGCTGTTGAAATATTTCCCAGTCATTGTCTTTCTTTTCTAATGGCAAAGTATCTGTCACAAAACAGGAACTGGATGGGTTCTTTCAGGATCAAATCTTTTATACTGTGATCAAGGAATAACTGGTTACTATTTTTTGAGGGTCTAAAGTTCCAAGGAAGGAGCAACAGGTGGAGAGGCATCCTTTGGGTAGGGAGTTTCTCCTCCCCAGTTTTTAATAGGAGCTCATGGTCAACGAGGCTAAAGCTCCAATCTTCTAGTCTAATGAATTCTTTGTTTTTTTTTTTTTTTGGGGGGGGGCAAGGTCTTCTAATATGCTGCCCTGACTGGCCTCAAATGTGCTGCTGTCCAAGCTGATCTTGAACTTGCCATCCTCCTGTCTCAGCCTCTCAAATACAGGAATGAACTACCTCTACTAGCCTCAGTGAATATTTAAAGATGTAAAGATGGAGAGCGGGGAGAATAAACCTGAGTTCTAAAACCATAATTAAAAAAATTTCCGTGTTACAGAAACTGCCAGGTCGAATGATAATTTCCTTCTGTTTTACTTCCACACAACCCCCTCCAGCAAGTCTTAGGGATGAACTTTGCCCTGGACTTTGATATTCTGGTACAACCAATTGTTACACGAGGCAAGTTACCTCTTCCATTCTCTGAGATTCAGTTCATCAGAAATGGGGATAATAATAATTGTTGTTAAAAGATCTTTCAGCTCCAACAATCCAGGCCTGTTATAAGGAGGCTTCGGCCTAAAATGATCGGAGGAGGCCGGATTGTAGGGTGTCTCCGTCAACCCGAGCCCTAGACCAAAAGCAGTGTCGTCTGTGGCCACCACAGCAATTACCGGCATCCCTAGGCGCGAATGCCCACTTGGTGTGGGCCAGCCGCACCTGCCCTCGCCTCACCTCACCTTCCGGGCGCCGCGCCTCCACCTCCAAGCCTCAGCGTACCTTCCAGCGTTACACCTCTGCGCAAGCGCACGCGCACACGCCGTCCCTGCGGGCTGGGCGCACGCTCTTGGCATGGGCCCTCGTTGGACGTGCTGGATGCTTTTGCTCCCAGTGCGGCCACCGTCGTTTGGGGAGGGCGACAGGAGGGGGCGGGGAAAAGGGTGGGAGTGGGTGAGCGCGCGCCGCCCGTCCGTCGTGGTTTCCTGGCTGCGCGCGCGGCGGTGGCGGAGTCGCAGCAGCTATAAGCAGCCGCCGCGAAGATGGCGGAGGGGTTGGAGCGTGTGCGGATCTCCGCGTCCGAGCTGCGAGGGATCCTGGCCACTCTGGCTCCGCAGGCCGGGAGCAGAGGTGAGTTGCGCCGCCCAGCTGCTGGGCCGGGCCTGCCCGCCCCGCCTCCCTCTCCTCTGCCTCCTCCCCGCCCCGTCCGTGGCGCTCCGAGCCCCCGCCCCTTCCCCCAACAGTGCGCCCCGGGGCCTGAGGCGGCCCCTCGGAGACCGCGGGCTGGGTCTCTGCTCACTCCGGCCTTTGGGGGCAGAGCCCAGCGCGAGTTCCTGCCTCCACCCTTTTGCTCACCGCCGCGCCTGTGGTTGTTCCCCCTCCTGTCGCCGGCCCCTGGATTCAGTCGTGAGGAGATACGAACTGGCGTGGGTGCTGGGGTCCGGTAGAGGCCCCGGGACTTATGGCTCCCTAAAGAATCGTCTGTGTACCTCCGTAGTCCTCCGTTCCGAGTCGGAGAGGAGGAGCTGGAGAAATTGAGGAGAAAAGCTTAACAGGCTGGGACTTACCCTGCTCAACTTTTCCCCCCCCCGAAGGCAGGCTTCCAATGGTACGCCACTGGAGGGATCCAGAACCTCAGGGATCTGACTCTGTTTTGTTTGGGTCTTGGCGTGTATGAGAGCAGTTCTGGTCAGAGAGAGTGTTTAATTTGCCAGTCTCCATGCGCATCAGAAAAGCGCGAGAACTATTTTAGCGTCTCACTCCCTTCATTAGTCAGTGTTGTTTCTGATGACTGTTACAGTTGGTGCGTCCTCTAGGATCGTGGCTAGAATCCGTGAGGTTAGTGTGCTTTGGCCAGCTGAATCGGATTAACCAGGTTGTTTTCTCTCACTGCTCTGGAAAATAGTAGTCATCACCTCCCCTGGCTCCGCCCCCAAACTAAGTTTAAAAGTTTACGGAGGGTGCTGAGGTTCAACGACTTTATCTTGGTTCGTACTGGTGGAGAGGCTAAACTTTGGCCAAAGCAGCAGTATCTTTTTGTTGTTTTTCTTTTGAGACAGAGTCTCTCACCTTGTAGCCAAGACTGGCCTGGAACTGTGTACCCAGCCTGGCCTTGAGTTTGGGATCCTTCTGTCTCAGCCTTCGGAGTGCTGGAATTACAGGCATGTGCCACCACACCCAACTTCCAAAGCAGTATCTAAAATGTCAGTTTCACTTCATTTTCCTTTCTCTCCCCCTACTAACAGAAGTGGGTGTAGATGTCGGAGCATAAATACCTGCTTTCAGCTTGTGTTTATATTATAGTTAGGTTCTAGGATTTTATATAACTTGAGCACTGGGTAATATTCTCACCATTTCCTGTCACTTTCTTGTTAAACATTTAGTGATTATTTGTAGTTGTCTCTCCACTCTAGGCAACAGATACTTACGAAAAAACCTGTTTATCATTCAGTAAGTTCGTGGAGCTTGGAGAGTGGTTTATAAACTCCCCTACTCTTGTTCTTTTCTTTTTTCCTTTGTTTTTCGAGTCAGGATCTCATCTAGCCCAAGTAGGTTCCAAACTCTTGGTAGCTGAGGATGGCCTTGCACTCTTGATTTTGCTGTCACTCTCTAGGTGCTAGGATTTGTAGGCATGAATTGGACTGGGCTCTAGTGTTCTTGAATCCCTTCGTCCTTTGGTGCTTTGAGAGCATGTCACAATCCTTCCGTTGGTGCCTAGGAAAAGCTCCTCTAATGGAACTTTTTCCCCCTTATATTCTATCATCATAGTAGCAGGTAGTCTCAGTATTCTAGGCAGTATTTTCTTGAAATGATTCTGCTGGTTGTTGTTAAAGAGTTGGTGAGGATGAGTCGAGTTGAAGATTGTAAAAGGAACTGCTTCCTGTTTGCTTCAATAGGAGGTATGTGATTGGGGTATTGGTATCCTAAAGTTGTAGATTTGCCCTGCTCAGGTTCCCACACTGGAGTTGCAGATACTTTCCCAGAGATCCTCCTCAAATGTATGTATGTATGTGTAAATATATGTTTACATATGTAATATAGTAAGTAAATATATGATGTAGTACATGAAACATATATTCCAGTAAATATGTTTATGCAATACTAGGGGTTACTCCTAGTGGCCTCCTGTGTGCTAGGCAAATGTTGTCCTACCGAGGTATAGTTCCTGCCCCCTCCTAATATAGTAAAGGAATTTAGCCACCCTAGAAAAATGTTATAGATAGAGGAGAGACTAAACCAGGTGTAATTATACACTCCTGCAGTTTCAGAGCTTGGATGGCTGAGGCAGGAGACTGTGAGTTTGACATCTTTCTGGACTGTATAGTGAAACCCTGGCTCCCAAAAAAGAAAAAGAAGAAAGAGAAAGGAAAGAGTTAACTTGTAGGCTATATAGACCGGATAGTTTAATGGCTGAACATGTTAGAGATCTTTGATTCTGATACAATGAAGTAGTTTGGGGTTTTTGAGATCTGAATATATAAGTATGACTTAGGTAGGTCAAGGGAATATAAATTCTTAGCCTCTCTGGTTACTGAACACAACTCCAAATTTCTGTCTTTGTGGAAACATTCTTCCCTGCCCACCAATGTTAGTATTTGGATATGTAATTCTTGCTCATTTTTTGTTGATGTTATTGTGGCTATGTAACTAGAGTGACAACTTTTCCTCCCTCTCTTCTCCCATTATTCTTTTCTTCTGTGTTTCCTCCTATGAACATACTAGAAAACATGAAGGAATTAAAGGAACCCAGGCAGCGCAAAGATAATAGGCGCCCAGATTTGGAAATCTATAAGCCTGGACTTTCTCGACTAAGGAACAGATCTAAAACTAAGGAGGCTTCTGGGAGTGAGGAATTTAAGGATGAGATTGTGAATGACAGAGATTCTTCTGTTGCGAATGATACACAGCTTATTAAAGTTTGCAAGGAATTGGACAGCCAACAGCAAAATGGTCCTACAGATACAGAAAATCGCCAGGCACAGGAGATTTTCTCAAAGACTGGTGGACTAGAGGACCGGAGTCTAAGAATCATCAAGAGAATTAAGAAACCTGACCTGCAGATCTATCAGCCTGGAAGGCGTTTGCAGAACGTAACCAAAGAGTCACCTAGCAGGGCCGATGAGGAAGAAATCCTTAACCAAGTGGAGCAGTTGAGGATTGAAGAGGGGGAGTGTAAGGGAAAAGTTGTAAAAGAAGAAGCTGAGAATAAACCAGACAAAGCTGAGACAGAAAAGACCCAAACTAATGACCGAGTCAGAACGGCCAAGGGAGAAAAGGGAAAAAAGATGGAGAAGGGGGAGGGGACGAAGAAGGTGAATGACGACTCTGTCCAGGGGAAAGCAAGTTCTGTAAAGCGGTACTCCCGATCAGACAAACGAAGGAACCGCTACCGCACTTGTAGTACCAGCTCAGCTGGTAGCAACAATAGTGCTGAGGGAGCTGGCCTGACTGATAACGGATGTCGCCGACGGCGCCAGGATCGGACCAAGGAGAGGCCACGACTGAAGAAGCAGGTGTCTATGTCCTCAACTGATTCCTTAGATGAGGACAGAGTTGATGAGCCTGATGGTTTAGGGCCCAGGAGGAGCTCAGAAAGGAAGAAGCATTTAGAAAGAAATTGGTCTGGCCGAGGCGAGGGTGAACAGAAAAGCAATGGTAAAGAAAACCGAGGGACCCTTCGAGTCACTTTTGATGCAGAAACCATGAGTAAAGATTCCCCCATGGTGAGGTCAGCCAGGGAGAGTGTGGAAAGAATAAAGTCTGACAAAGGCCCGAGCAGTGGGGGCAAGGGCTCTGAGAAGCAGGAGTTCAAAAACCCGAACCAAGAACTTCGAGGTCGTGGTCGTGGCATTCTGATTCTGCCGGCCCATACTGCCCTATCTGTCAGTTCAGTGGGCTCTCCAGAGTCTACACCTTTGGGACCTCGACTTTTATTTGGATCTGGTACTAAGGGATCTCGGAGTTGGGGCCGTGGAGGCACTACCCGCCGACTATGGGACCCAAATAATCCTGATCAGAAGCCTGCTCTGAAAAGCCAGACACCCCAGCTACATTTCTTGGACACTGATGATGAAATCAGCCCTACATCTTGGGGTGACTCACGTCAGGCCCAAGCATCTTACTATAAATTTCAAAACTCTGACAACCCCTATTACTACCCTCGGACACCAGGCCCTACCTCTCAGTATCCCTATACAGGCTATAGCCCTCTGCAGTACCCGGTGGGCCCTGCAAATGGTATGTATCCAGGGCCTTACTACCCAGGCTATCCTGCCCCCTCGGGACAGTATGTATGTAGTCCTCTCCCTGCCAGCACCATGAGCCCTGAGGAGATAGAGCAGCACGTGCGGAACATGCAGCAACAGGAGCTACATAGGCTTCTCCGAGTGGCTGACAACCAGGAATTGCAGCTTAGCAACCTGCTTTCCAGGGACCGCATCAGTACTGAGGGCATGGAGAAGATGGCTCAGCTCAGGTATTGTGTGTGTTTTCCTACTATCTTGCTTAGAGGGAAATAGACAGTTGTAAGGCTCCTATGGCTGAGGAAGGTAGAGACTTCTTAGGTAAGCCACTGAGTGTTACCTCCCTTTCACAGGGATCTCTGCCTCTCCCAGCCCCACTTGGGCATGGGCATCAAGCCTAGAGCCTAGAGCATCTTGGAATAAGTGACCTACCACTGAGCCACACTTGAAGCCCTTTTACATGGATTTTTATAAGG